TTTTTTTTTTATATTTACTGTAGTCAAACTGTTCTTCGTAACAACACATACTTATGTCTATATTCTGGTAAAGCATTTCACCATAGCAACACATATCTTAACGTTTATTCTGGTATAACATTTTACCATAATAACACGTATCTAAATCGATATTCTGGTAATACATTTCCCCACAATAACACATATCTAAATATATATACTGGTAATACAATTCACCATAACAACATATATCTAAATCTATATTCTGGTAATACATTTCACCATAACAACATGTATCTAAATCTATATTCTGGTAATACATTTCACCATAACAACATATATCTAAATCTATATTCTGGTAATAGATTTCACCATAACAACATATATCTAAATCTATATTCTGGTAATACATTTCACCATAATAACATAGATCTAAACCTATATTCTGGTAATACATTTCAAGACAATAACACATTTGTAAACCTATATCTTAGTAATACATTTCACCATAATAACATATATCTAAACCTATATTCTGGTAATACATTTCACGACAATAACACATTTGTAAACCTATATTTTTGTAATACATTTCACAATAACAACAAATATCTAAATCTATAATTTGGTAATACATTTCACCATAACAACATGTATCTAAATTATATTCTGGTAATACATTTCACCATAACAACATATATCTAAACCTATATTTTGGTAATACATTTCACCATTACAACACATATCTAAATTTATATTCTGGTTATACATTTCACCATACCAACACATATCTAAACCCATATTCTGGTAATAAATTTCACGACAATAACACATTTGTTAACCTATATTTTGGTAATACATTTCACCATTACAACACATATATAAATCTATATTCTGGTATTACATTTCACCATAACAACACATATCTTAACCCATATTCTGGTAATACATTTCACCATAACAACACGTATCTAAACCTATATTTTGGTAATACATTTCACCATTACAACACACATCTAAATCTGCTTTCCGGTAAAACACTGTTTATCGTGAGGACACATATTTACATGAAAAGTGAAGTAAATCAGCATGTCAACAGTTTTGAACTGAACATCTGTTCATTCCTTCGCTTATCTTTTTAAATATTGTTTAAGAAGCTGTTGTTATTGGTCAAAATGTATAACACGGAGTTACAACATGGAGAGTTCAAATTTGTATCTGAAGTAAAAGTATGAAAACACAATACGAGCTTCTATTTTCTATTCTTTAAAATAAAGGAATAGGCTAAAAAAATATATGTACTGATACATAAGATCAACAATTTCCGATTGAGGGAGTATTATTGTTGTTACCATTTAATAAACGCATCAGTTCCTATAGTGTTCATAAATAATGTAACGGAAATTATATGAATCTTGTATATCTTATAGAAGTTTTTTTTTTTAAAGTTATAACTGTGGAAACCTTTAACAGAACCCGTTCACGACACTTTCATGTAACCCAACCAAATGTTTCCCGATTTAAAAGCAGGCCAACGCAATGTCAGCAAAGCTGGTTGTGAAGTTTCTTTTCCAGGTTGACTTGGAATTCCGATATATCTGAATATCAGCTTTTGCTCTGATGCCGTTATTTGCGGATTTCTGTCTATCTTTCTCAGACTATTTCGCACATGACCTTGAATATCTGATCAATTTCGATTCTTTCATTAAAAATAAGAAAATGTTAACAGACTGGGTTTTGTTCACGTCAAACAAATTATCTGTAAATATTCAGTTGTACTTTTGTGCCTGTAATGACTATTTGTGTGTTGTCACTTCCGAATGAAACGTCGTAAACAAACAATCGATGCTAACTTTTCTCTAAATCGTTGTCCCGTAAAGCCATACAGTAAAAAGTTCATAGAATGATTCAAAAGAGTACAAGTCACTGCAACGACGGCAAGGTGATTTAAATGCATGTTTTCGACATTATAAAATATTTCTTGAATAAAACAAACAAATAATGGGATAATTGCGGAAATAAAAAAGGCGGTAACTGCAAATAGCATGGTGACTGTTTTCGTGGTGGAGTCATTCTTTATAGGTGTGGAACATGAACTATTTTCGTTGCCTGAAGTCAGATTGCGCCTCTTATTAGCTGAAACGATGAGTCCACGTACAATTAAAGAATTAAAGATGCACATTAAACAGACGGGAATCAGAATGTAAAAGAACATGTCAAGGTAGGTACGGTACTTGAAGCAATAGACATTGGTGAATTCTGGCATAACACATGATAAGTTATCGTCATCCCATTTGAGACATATACTCGGCAAATTGAGAGCAGCAATAATCAGAAAGGTCACGCCGATATAAATAAGTGCACGCTTTCTTGTACAGTACTGGTTCACATGGAAAGGGTAGCAGACAGCTATGTAGCGATCAATAGTGACCGCTACGGTGATCCAAGAGGATAACTGCATGAATATCAGTGTGCAACTGAAGTCAACAGAGCAATACGATTGGTTGTCCGATCTGGAAAGTTGGAAAAATCCTGCGAACCAGTTGAAGATACCGCCGAAAACCAGCGAAGCCATGTCGGATAGTGCGAGGAACGCAAGATACAGATAAAATGAGGACGACTTGGACAGCTGGACAAATACCACAAACGACACAATGTTTCCTACAATTCCCAGGGACGAAATGATTGGCCTGATGACTTCATTAAGGTAATCAGTGTTGACGAAAATCATGTCATCTTCAAAGTCGGTTACATTTTTGACGGGGATACTTCCATTAAAAATGTGTGAAGTTTGATTTTGAAGACTTAGGTTCCGGTCTCCCATGATTTCACTGAAAATTGTAAAATTGCATCGTTTTATATGTGAAAAATAAAATGCAAATAATAACAAGCACCGTTAAAGTACAATTATATCATTCTGAAACATATTTTGATGAACCCCTCCTAATTGTGGAGTATACATGTTACAGTTGACAAATATAACAGAATTTGGATCGTCGATATAAGAATATTTAATTTTGTCACCGTGATCTGATTTTTTACTTTGATATTAAGTAGCTACCATCATTAGCGACATGCCCTGATAATTACCTTAAATGCCATATTTAAAAATGTAATAGACAACATTTCCAAAACGTCAACCAAAAAGGACAAAATGGAAACAAGAAGGAATGGAAAGTTATTAAAACGAAATGAATTAACATGGACGACCAACAAACAAAGTTATTACAGTATATGTTCCAGCAAAATTTACATATTCCTTAACGAACGTGATAATTAGTGTAGTGTCTTCCTTCACATAATTGGAAATAAGTAAAACGCTACAAAAACAATCGTTCATTTTCGACAAACAAGTGTAACCAGTCAGAGCTGTTAACTAAGGAACATTATACGTATATTCAAAAAGTCTGAAGAAACAGCTTTAGAGCTTCGAATTTGGTAGAAAATGTAAACATATGGAAGAAGGCCAATTACGTGTACGGTTGTGTATTGTAAAAATGTGGGGAGTCAATAAGGATATTTTCTCCTAATACATTTTCTACCTTAAACATTGTAAGGGCAATTTAATCTGATAAAAATGTGAAAGCTAATATCTACAATGTCCGGTTTAAATTTGCAAAAGAAGATTTTCTGAACGTACTTTCTACAGAAAAGGAGGTCACGTTTGAACCTCGAGACAAATATAGTTTGCGTCAGAATCTTAACCGTAATGCGCAAATAGTTTCAGTTGTAAATGCAGGGACAAAAGGTGTTCACAGAGTATTCACACCCGGTAGGAAGTGCCCAAGAGATTCACCTTTTACATATCTGAATGACTCACCTAAGTGAAACATAGGTAGAGAGCCACACATATAAAAATGTAATAGGCCATTAGAGAGAATTAAATCGTTTGTTTTGGTCTACACATACACGGGCACACTGTTAAATGTATGTCACTACAGATGAATCGTAAAATAACTTTTTAAGAAAGAGAAATAATGAAAGGCATGTCACTTACAATTGTATCCAATGATTTATATCATTATTTACAACCAGAGAGTACATTTAAATTATACGAGTTATGTATTGCAAAACATCAACATATAACGACAATATATATTAGTGTTGACATTTTCGTGAGAGAGGTCGTTAACGTATCGACATATTGTGAATGAACAGCAGGTATCTACTTACTGCACAAATTTCCATGCAAAGACTATCATATCGAATAGTTCAGGCATAGAGTATCAGAATGTCAAAGACTATTGAATGATATTATTGAATAAGAATGTACGGTTGACTGTGTTTTGAGCTATTACAAAATTACCAAAATACAGTCAACTTTCTAATCAGAGATAGACAATGACAGAGAAAGTCAGATATAAAGAAAGGGACATGAAGAAAATGTAATGATAACCTTAGATTAAAGGAAGTTATGTTGTGAAAATGGAAAATGCACGTACGTTTAAGTTGTGTTCATTTGAATTTAATCAAATGTAGTACAAGTAACTATCGAGAATTAATTGTATTTGTAAAAGAGCAATTGACATACAATAATTACATAATGCGTTAGACTCCCGTTTTTATCATTTTGTCAACATAATCAATTGATCTATAGTAGAAAGGACATGCAATACATTGATCAGACGATATCAAACTGAATCAAAAATACTTATGAAATCATCACCTAGATAGCATAACTAGTAGTTTATAATTGCCAAAGAATATGGGATAAATCTTACATACATATATAGATATAGCATATACCAATTTCCATTTCCAAATGTTATATTCCAGGTATATTCCTGAACAAGTACTGATCTCCATCAGAAATTTTGAACAATCTCATCAATAAAGAATACGTTATAAAGAAGTCCGTAGATGTTCATGAAATAATACTTCCCAAAGCACAGAAATATAAAATATTATTGCTTACCTTGAACGATTAAAAGTAGGAACGTGATGATGTGGTCTAAAACCGGCCGGTAGTTCAGCTACATTTGTGAGTCTTTTATCCACCAACGTGAATTCTGGTTTCGATCTGTCGTCATTTCACATGGTTATGTTTAGAGGCTGTGATTGGTTAACCCCATATCAACGCCTTAGTAACCCGTTTTCCATATCAAGTTGTAGTTTCAGCGGATACTATTGGTCAGCTAACGATGTTTTGCATTTGTTGTATTAAAGTATATGCATGTTGATGAGAAGACTGCGATAAAGCCAAGCTATCGATTTTTATTTTTGTCCTCATTCATCAGATCGATATTTCTATGTACAGTTGTGGGACCGCACAACGTACCAAAAATAGCGTGCGCACACCGTGCACACATCGTTCACACAACGTCCGCACATCGTCCACACATGGTGCGCACAACTGTGCGATTTAGCAATCGTTTGCCCCGTTGTGCGCTTCTCTCCACACAACTGTGCGATTTGTATGGTGGCATATTTCTGCCATCCACTTGCGACTTACGAGTTAAGTATGTCGACATAATTATTGAAAGATGTCGACATAATCTGAGAAGATGTCGACATAACTTTTAAATTATGACGACATATTATCACATTTGCCGAGATCATTTTGCCGAGATAATTATCTCGTAAGTGGATAACTCGGCTTTTTATCGTGTTAATGCTCGAGTGTGACATCGACTTGCCACTTACGACTTGCCACTTACGACTTATTTATGTCGACATCCTAGTAGACTAGATCGATGTGATAACATGTCGACATAATTTAATAGTTATGTCGACATCTTCTCAGATTATGTCGACATCTTTCAATAATTATGTCGACATACTTAACTCGTAAGTCGCAAGTGGATGGCAGAAATATGCCACCATAGATTTGGTATCATTTGTAGATAAAAATTACGGAATGACAAAAATACAGAAGGCTTGTATGCGATAATGTACACTGTGTATATATCTGTAATTTCTCATCACAGTAATCAAGATTATACAATTTCACAATGCGTGTTACACAGAATTACAGCGACCGATAGGCTGTCAAGAATGGGGTTGGCTCCAAGGTAACAGAACAGGTAAATAACAATTTTATGAGTGTCCGGAGTTTTACCTGACCAGTGCTTGACACACAGAGCTGATATGTGATACCGTTTGACCGTAATGAATAGTATTTGTTATTTGCATTCGTTTGCCTATAGCTCCCCTTCACCTGGATTTTCACCCCCGGCCTTACCCGACGAGTTACGTAAGTGCCCCAGGCGGGGAGAAAACTATGGTCCAGGTACATGTATAAAGTGGTTATGTTTACCTGTATACGGGCAGAGACGTATAATACGTATTATACGTCTCTGATACGGGATTGTGTTGTAATTTTACATGTGTCGATTAAGTTTGTTTAAAAACACAGGAAACATAATTTCTAAATAGAAGAATGTATAGACAGAAATATAAGTTTACAGATGTTGCTAGAATATGGAAATATATGTAAACACCAAGTTTATATGTTTAAACACGAAACCGTATAAATTGTTAAGGCATTCCTCAATTTACACCAACCACGATTGTTATCGCACAACGTCCGTCCATCGTGCGCACAGATGTGCGCAAGCAATGATCGTCCAGTTTTTTTTATCATTCGCCCATCGTGCACACACCGTTAACACACCGTGCACACATCGTGCGCACACCGCACATCGTGTAACGTTGTGCGATCCCACAACTGTAGTTTACTGCCTCCTTTTCTGTTGTCCATTTCTTACCCTTGGACGGAAAGGAAGCTAAGAATTATTTCGATTCATATGATTCTTAAAGAGCTCAAATTCTAGCATACCGTCTGATCTTTTCTTTGAAAACACCTCACTGTGCTAGGAATTGAAAATAAATTGAATGTGTAACCATGCTTAGCGAATTTCGAATTCGAGCTTAGAAAAAATGAATAGAATTCTTGGAAAACATGAACATATCTATGCTGTGGGAATTGAAATTTGAATAACTGATGGGCGTCTTAATGTTAAATTGTTATCGATATGTAATGCAACTCTGAATTTCAATTTTTGAGCTCACTATAAATTCTCTCTGCATCTTGGATGTTCTCAATGTAGAATCAAATTCCATGTACGCGCAACCTTGCTGATGATCCTAGACCCCAAAGCAATGCTTTGATTAAAGATTAAAGTGAATTACACTGCACGAACGTGCATTTATGATGTCAGGAGAAAATCCGAGGGCACAAAATGACATAGAATAAAATGTTCAGTTTGGAAGAATTTAAGAAAGTCTTAGATTTCGAAGATAAATTATTTTTAATTAATGGTTTGACTTTTATGCTGACTTACTAGAACATTTGCTTATACAGAAAATCAGTAACTTGTCGTAGCTGCAGACTAATGCAGAATAATATATTCATTGGTCTTCACACTGGTGTTTCCTAGGTCCTATATAGTAAGCAAATTTATTTATTTCGAAAAGAAAACAAAAATTCAACAAAATTTGAAATCATAACTGTCGTAGCAAGAAGTTCTCTCTGTCCTTCTGTATCCTAACACCAGTAAGACTAAATTTAGACATTATTTACATTGTATATCTAGCTGAGGGAATTCTATTGAAGGGAGGGGTGAACAGTACACGGCTTACATGAATAACAAGGCAACCTAAACTGTAAACATATAGAACAGAACTAATACACCACAGATATGAAAATAGTGAAAATAAAAAATAAAAAAAACGCAGGCAACATTTATATTCCGTTGTTATGTACTTATTAGACTTCAGAAGAGAATACAAAGCCGATGGAAAATATATTACAGTCAATGCGCACACACTGGTGACTAAAAAAGGAGTAACATACTCAGAATAGGGTAAAGTGACGAGTAAAGT